TTTTTGCACATTCCATTCTCCACCTGGAGATGGACCTTGATCCCAGCAGGCAGATTATGGCATCAGGCACACTGCAACAGCACTGCAGTGCCTCTGCAGTTGATTGACCCATGGTTCCTATTTCTGGCCTCCCCTCAGCCTGGACTTTCTCATGCTTAGTGCCAGGGCTGGAATGTTTTGGAAAGTTTTCCATTAATTATCCAAGCTATTTTCAGTGATAGAGCTTCAAAAATAAATATAATGCTGTGATTTTTAGGAAAGTTAAACATTTTTCATTGCACTCTGTTCAAACCCAGACTGCAGTGCAGGGTGCAAGCTCCTTTTATGGGATGTGTGAGAAACTGGGTTGGATGTTTTTCACAGGTTATTTCCCAGATTGTTGTGTTTTCACATGAAATTCCTCTATAGTGGAAGACAGGAATTTCATCATTTTGCCAGATGAGTGTTTCAAACTGCTTCTCCTTTGCAGCCAAGAGGACTGTTACAAGCAGTAACCTGGTAGCTACACTGAGCTGTAAAAGCTTTGAATTTCTATAAGGATTAAACTGCAGTTCAGGTCACAGCGCTGGGATGGGGTGCCAGTAAATGAGAGCAAATTGTCATCAGATTGTAATGAAAAGATTTTATTGTTAATTAATTTGAAGCACCAGAAAAAAAGTGCTATGTGCTTTACCATGAAGATGGGAAATAAATCTGTGTCCTAGAAAAGATGCAGCAAGGAAATGAAGCAAATAACTTGGGGTGAGAAAAAGAGATAAGAAAAGTATGTAGGAAGGAGAGCAAAAATTTATATCAGACTCATAAAGTGAAWCAGGTTGATTATATGTAGGCCTTCTAGTTAATAAGTTGTATTWATATGTAATTATTACTACTTAAATATTTATTCTGTTTCTACACTTAAAAAAGATTATATGAACTTAAGAGCATTGTTCCCAGGCTGTTGATCACTCCTGCCTGATTCTACCATAACTCCCTCCTCACTCAGGCCCACCTTGTCTTCTGGTAGCAGACAGGTGGGTTACCTGCCTTAGACAGGATTAATGGCACCATCTTCCAGCAGGGAGAGGAGGTGTCCTGAATTCCAGCCAGCCACAATGGGAGTAGACTTYCTTGGCTCTTACACACTGTCAAAGCAGATTCATCTTGCCACTCTAAGCCTTTTAGAAGATGTTTTTCTCTTCATACTTGAAGAGTGAAAGTGCAATGAGCAACTGTTAATTACAGTTTATTGTGAATTCTTCTCCATTCTCTCATTTTCCTTAAGAAAYATGCTCATGAAAGTAATGGTAAGATTACAGTGACCTTAACAGCCCTTAAAACAATGTTTAATTGTACAATTTAAAGCAACTGAAATCCTGGTTCCCAGTTAATTYTGTGCCATTTGCCTTAACTTGGCTGAATCTCTGCCCTCTATCACCTTACTTGTTTGCATGCTGACCAGAAACAAAGGCCCAGAAACCAGGCATTTCTGTCCTAGTCAGCATATATGACACCCCCGACGCCTTATCATCTGTTAAATGCAGAAATAATTGGCATCCACCATCTGTACCTATTCTGACTGGGCATCAGGATAAATTAAGCCACTCTTAGGGGAATAATTTATCTGACTGGCCTTTTTATGGTGCCTGTAGCAGWAAAGAGGAGACTACTTGAACCGTGTCTAGCTCTAGGCAGGGCATGATCAAGACAAGCTGTTGGACTTTGGGTTCACCTTGTGGTTTCCCAGTGGTGTCTGAGGCCAGGGATGTGATGTATGTCTTGAGGCACAGAAATATGGATTTTCAGAAGCCCCCACACATACCCATGCCCTCTGACCMGTATGAGAAAGCTTTTTCAGACAAGAAGAGTACTTCAGGCAGTGTAGGAATTTGGCCAGTGTAGATGAGTAATGCAGATGACATTTTTATTTTTCTTTTTAACAACCTTGTGGTGGAGGATGATGGCACACACTTTGTCATCCTGGCATTACAGTATGGGKGGACATGTCTCAGAGGTTTATAGGGATAAGATTTGGATCTGGATGAAAAGCACAGTGAGATRCAATGGTCAGACTGTCAGAGGTGCCTYTTYACTTCACATTGAAACAAACATTTYCCCTTCTCCMTCTTTTTCCTGAATTGAAATCAGGGATGAGCTGTGAGTCCTCTCCTTTCAATGTGTAAATTGCTTTCACCTACTCCTACCAACCTCTTCCTGACCTGGAAGCAGAYCACTGCTCCTGCTTGGGAAAAGATCAGGAGCTTCACCAAGGAGGGGGAGTGTCTAGCCTAGGTGTGGGCCTGAGGAAGGAGTCATTTGGTGGCAGCAAGTTCAGAGAAAACCATCCTAAAATGTCTCACCTCCTTGGCACCCTGCTCTGCCCATGCAGGAGAGCTCTGAAGAGTGCTCTTCRTTGAAAAATCCCTGAAAGTCCCTGAACTAGGACTGCTCTTCCCTAGATGCAAGGTGGAGCTCACCTCCTGGCTGTCTGTGGGCRAGCAGAGTTGCCTTTCTCTGAGCAAGGCTTCTTATCCCATCTCATCATCATAAGTATTCTTGTTTTTCTTAGGAGCATGACCTGCTTCAGSCCCTGAACTCTAATGCTACTGTTCTTCAAATGTTCTTAGCTAGATTCTGGATTAATTTACTCAGACTCTCAGACAGACATTATGTTCATGTATCAGATGCCACTTCCATGCCTGGAGGCCACGAGTAGAGCAGACCTGATTTCTCAGATCAAAGCAGTGCTAAGAAAAATCTTTTGGTGTTCTCCAGATGTTTCATAGTTGAAACCTCAGCTATAGTTTAAGTCAGATGACTGCAAAAACATGCACTGCATCTCACCATAACTATAAAGCCACACTTCATTTTTCTGAAGACAAATCTGGATGATAGTAGCCTTTTCCCCTGCAATAATTATYATCTCAATTTTATCTGGGCAATTTGGGACACCAAGTCTGTTCTCCTAAATGATGTGACCTAAGCTATCAGCCAAAGACGAAACTGGCTTCTCAAGAGCACCTTTTAATATTCATGGCCTTAGGAGATCTCTTTTCATTGAAGGTGATGCTGGTTAGYGCCTTGGTGTKTATAAATAAAATAAGGTTCTCAAAMCCAACRTAAAAYTTTCCTTGTGGCTATTTMTATTYCTCCTCTTGTTCTGTAYCTTTATTATTCTCCAAATACTTAGTTYATGCTTATGCTAAARAAACAACCTCTGGGTTGTCAAGCRGTCCCTTATTCCACCGTACAAAGTTTGTCACAAAATAAGAAAACACTTAGCATCTCTATGATGGATTTGAAAAAGAGCTAGGTTGTGGATAAGATCAGGTGCTTAAAGAAATCAAGCATAGTCTGGTATAATCTGCACAGTGGTGAAAGAGAAGACAGTCTGGSTGGCTCTGCTGTCACATGGACATGAACACATCTTACTCCCTGACCTTCTCTTTTCTGAATCCTTGATACAGCTCCTCTGCCTCTCTTCATGTCCCTCTGCAGCCCAGGCAGCTGCTGGATCCAAACCCACACACGAGAGCAGATGCTCTTTTTTGGTAAGACTCTGACAGATATTGAAAATGGTGGGAGCCCATCTTCCACTGGTTACTCATATTGGTGGGACAGATGTGGACTGGGCAGCTTAGACGAGTTATGTTTTTGTTGATCCCTTGGAGGACTTTGGTTTTGCCTTAAATGTCTCAAACTTCCCCTTGCCACTGACTATGACAAGTCAGCCTGGGAATCTGTGTGTAGTTGACAGGTCATTGGGAAAAGTACCTAGGAGGATATGAGATGCTTTCTAACACTTTTTACATCAGGCGTGCAGTGTGCTTTGCCGTGAGGTTGGTGTGGAGCCATRGAGGTGGTGGTCCTAGAAAAAGCACTCAGTTCTGAGCGCCCCCAGAACACATCTGACGGATGAATTTGTACTGTGCTGTACTTGTGGAAACAGGCAGTGTGCAAGTAAAGCTGAAAGGGCAGTTTAGCAGGGCAGGTTGCAATTACACTTAAGGGAATTTGGTTAAGAGGCAAGTAGGGTAAAAAGTTATTTAGAAGCCCTGATGAAATTTTCCATACTGTAATGCAAATACCCTAATCTCCTCATCAGATGCCTTGGAAGCACCCATATTTTGTATGTAGCCCCCTTATCAGGTGCCTTGGAAGCACCTTGGTTTTCTAAACATTTATTTTCCCTGGTAAGTTTTCTTAGTATCTCCTCCTGCCCTTGCAAACCTTTAAGCAGTACTTGCACAGCAGCTGCACTGTTACCTAAATGTCACTTGGTTTCACAAGCTGCATGCTCTGTTGTGTGAGCTGCCCCCAGGGCTGGATTCAGTGAGCTTTTTACCGYTACATTTTCAGCACTGCCCCGTGATGTGGAATTGTATCATGGTTGCCGCTCCACTGCCATTCTTGTCCCCCCGCAGGGCAGGGGTTGAACCCCTCGAGGCTGTGGTGCTGGCCYCGGCGCTCAGCCCTTGTGCCAGGGGGTGAGAGCTGCGCGGTCCCGTGTAGCAGCGAAGGGAGCGGGCGCCGGGGCAGCTCCATTCTCGGAGCCTTGTTCCCGTGAACCGCCCCAGCTTCAGTGGGAGATGGGCTCATCCATGGAGTGCGTGCCTGGATCCCGTGTGCCCTGGGCCGCCACGGTGTATTTGCKGGCCGCCGACCTCACGGGCACGGCGATGGCAGTACAGGCACGAGTGCCACTGGGCCAGCGGTGCGGGAGGGCAGGGTGCCGTGCTCCCCGCGTCCCAGCCGCTGTCGGCTGGGGCTGAGCCCGTGTCACCGGCTCCCCGCCACGGGGGCCCTGCCGGCCCGTCCCCGCTGCAGCACGGAGCGCATTCCCGCCGGCAGCCGGCCCCCGCTGCCCGCTGCCCGCTCCCCGCTCCCCGCTCCCCGCGCCGGCCCGGCCGGCAGGAGGAGGAGCAGGAGGAGGCGCGGAGCCCTCCGCCCCCTGCGGCGGAGCGGGCGAGGCGTTAGGACCCGGCGGCGGCGGCTGGGCGGCTGGGCGGCGCGGGGCCGGGGCCGGGGCCGGAGCGGAGCGGTGCGGGGCGGGGGAACCGCGCCACCGCCGCCGCCTCCTCTTCTTCCTCTCCTTCCTCCCGCAGCCGCCCCTGCCCGTCGAGGCAGCGCTCCCAGGCTCCCCCGGGGCGCTCGGCATGAGGAGGATCAGGGCCAATGCCATCGCCATCCTGACCGTCGCCTGGATCTTGGGCACTTTCTACTACTTATGGCAGGACAACAAGCCCCGCTCGGCGGCTACCGGCAGGTCCGCCGGAGGCGGTAGCGGCGGCGCCCGGAGCGGGCAGAGGGCGGCCGGCAGGCTGGAGCTGCGCCGGGAAGAGAGGACCATCCCCCTGATCGTGAGTGAGCGGCGGCCGGCATCCCGTCCTGCCGCGGCGGGGAGGATGCTCGGGGAGGGAGCGCGGCGGCGGGCGCGGGGAGCGCCGGCGGAGGGTTGCGCTTTGCCTTCGGGCTGCTTTCTGTTTATTTTAGCATTCGTGCTTGTCACCATGGCAGCCGCTACACTCGGGGAGCACGGCGGGCACTCTCGGGGGAATAGAGTAATGCCGTGGGTAAAGTGTTTGCGAGTTGTCTCCGCCGCTCTCAGCCCGGGCTCTGCTCCTCCGGCTGAGAGCGGCTGCCCTTGGCCGGGAGAAAGGCGCGTGAAACAGCTGGAAGGTCTTTGGTTCTCGTTCAGGAGGCGCACGCATACAGATATGTACATACACACACGCATGTGTGTGATCACAGTGCCTTCCCGTCAGGACCGGCTCAGAGCCATGACCTCTCACAAGCCCTTCCTCCGGCCAGCCGGGCTCTGAGCATCGGGCCGGGGGATGCGAGTGGCACTTGCAGCGGGGAGCTGTACAACTGCTACCAACCTCTGCCTCGGCCCCCTGTGCTTGGCTGCCAGATGGGGGACCTGGGCGCCGCTCGCGAGTTGTGTCTCTTTYAAGCCAGAGACAGCAGTCTGTGAGTCGGGCTCGGGCTAGGATTTGGGCAGGGAGATGGAGGGAGCCCCCAGGGCTCCTTCCTAACCCGAGGGGTGGTAGCAGTGCCCTGATATGCTRCTTCAGTTTTGTTGAAAGCCCCACACTCTGCCCTTTCGGGGATCTGTGGGCTCAGCTGGAGGATAAAATTGAGTTCCTGACTTAAGGATGATGGGGACCTTTCTGTTCTCTCTGTGGGGGTGATTTGTCCTCCCTTCAGCCTGTATAATAGCATCAATAAAGCTTTCCCAACTCTAGGCAATAGCTTAATAAAAAATAATTCAGCCCCTGGAGCAAGAAGTGGCTCAGCAATACATTCCCAGGAGTGATCCAGCTGAAGCAGTTCGGGAACTGCACTGTGTGTCACTCTTTGGCTGCGAATCCATTTGTCAGCTGGTTACGCACACATGGAAGCGAACAAAAGCAGCAGCCTGGTCAGAGTTGGAGCAAGGGCCAGGCACCTGCTTCCCTCTGTGGCTGATGCTGGGATTTTTTGGCCTGTGTCTCGCTTTTCTTCACCTGTAAAGTGGGGATGGGAGTTGTAAGCATGGGTATTTGGGAAGCCTCGTGAATGTTTGGAAAATGCTGTCAGAGCAGTCCCTGCTGTGTGGAGCAGGACGATGGAAATGGGTATGGTGAGGCAAGGAGCTCTGTGCAAGTGCTGTTAYTGCTGTAGCCCTTTGGGTGTGCTGGAAAACGCTCTCAGGCTGACCAGGGCTGAGTTGAACAAACGGAGGATTTGGAGCTTCTGCTTTTTTGATTCCACCTTACTGGCAGAGGAATCTGCCCCTGAGCCTCTGATTTCTTGTGTGAGCTTGAACATGCTGCACTGGCAGTTTTATTTCTCTGTTCCCMTGCTTATCCCTTCTGGTTTTTTATAGCATTTACTTTACTCCCTCTCAGAGGRCTTGTGAGGTTACATGAATCCATACCGTCTGCCAAGCACCTTAAAATCCTCGTGAGGAGGATGCTGTGGCAGTGCTGCACGTTGTTATATTGCTGCTGTTTAGGGGGCGGCAGTATGTGCTCATGGCTAACCACRAAGCCTCTTCTTACAAGATATAGTGCCTTGCAACAGCCACTCCAAGTCTGGCCTGCTCTCAAAACAGTGTAAAGCATCCCAGCTCTGCTCCGTGCCTGCAATCCCTTAGCAAGGAAAAATAATCATCCTTTGCGTCTCCTATCCCTCTGTAACTGGGKTCTCAGGATGGGCCAGCCCTCCCAGCAGGGCTCTCAGTAGCAGCTGAGGTGAAGGAGGACCCTCTCCTGATGCACCTKGCAGTGGGGCATGGTGGAAATACTGACCTGCCATGATCTATTCACATAGGGAAGGGGAACAGGAAGGGTTGGTGGTGTTTGGGCATTCCCTCATGCATGCAGGTTTCCCAGGGGTTTGGTGGGTTCCCTGAGAGTCAAGATGGTAAAATGCAGTATATGTACTCCTGTAACTGCAGTGCCATGGCTGTGGAGAGCCTGGCAGGCTTAGCAGTGATGTGCTCAATGGGCTGTCCTGGCCATGGTGTCTGCCAGCACTGCTGGGCAGAAGCAGGGGAGGGACTCTGGGTGGCACAGGGTGGGAGGGTTGGTGGGGGTCTGGGAACAGCACTGTCCCACAGGTGATGACATCTAGCAGGGTCTGAGCAGTTGGTCTCGCGGGCTGCGCTGTGTGTGTGAGCCTGAGGGCTGGTGAGGATGGGGCAGTAGCTGTGTGGACGATCCTCAGTATGTGCCCAGCTTCGTCCCGCACCCTCTCCCAGCCAGCATGGAAAATGTGCCAGTTCTATTGCCCTGCTGGAGAAATAACGGCTCGAGAGAAGCAGCTGTCCTCTGGCAGTGCAGAGCCCTCAACCCTGAGTTCATTGCCCTTGCAGTTAGATTATTTGACTTAATGKGTAATGGCAGTCATGTATAAGGGCAGGCATGTCTGTGCTCTGCCTGCTTCCCTGTCCCTTGGCTTTCTGCAGAGCCACTGAGACAAGCTGCCCAGTTTGATCCAGCTTCTGGTTTCCTCTGCTCTGCATCAGTGATGGTGTGGGAATTCAGGTTTGAACTCATCTGCAAGTAAGGGTAGCTCATGTGACTTTTGGGTCTCTGGAAAAATATTTTTTCAGTTTCCTAAAATTGGCTGCTTTTCTGTCTGGGAAAAGGAAAAAATCTTTCTTTTGGATGAGCGAGTCCAAGAGTTCTGCTCTTGCATCTATGCTATGACATTTCAGATCCTGGGCAAGTRAAGGTGTATTGCATGGGTTTAAAAACTGAAGTGCTTTCTGGGTTTGTGTTTTTCTTCTTCATTCTCTCTTAATGTGAAGAATAAAAGTCACCTCAGGTAAACACTATAGCCAATTGCAAGTCTCAGCTTGAAACTGTTTTCTGTTTGTTGACCTCATATTTATTCGCACAACTTTGAACTTAAAATCTGGATGTCTGACTCCTGGAGTCAGCCAGGGAAATCTTTGAATATTTAAGCTGTGGCATGGAGCTGTCAGAGATCAGTGTCCCAGAAACAGCTCGTGCATTAATAGTGATCCTACAGATACCTGCTTTATATATAGAAATCTTGACATGTGGCCTCTCTGCAATAGGCTCTTCACAAAGAGGCTCTACAGATGCTTGAAATGAAATTCAGAAATTGGTAAATGGCAGGCCCACTTGGTGACATGCTTCCCCTTGCACTTACCACAGAGGGTAGAAACACAAGTGAGTACCACACTCCTAGAAATGCATTTTTTCTCTGGAGAACAGCCTAGTTTCATATAAATTAGAAGCCCTGGGACCTCTTATGGTTGGTTTGTGTGGTTTTGGARAATGGACTTCTTCCCTGGACTCTTTTCTGTCCCTCCCTCCCTCCCTCCTGTGTCCAGGAAATTTGCAAAGGCCAGAAGCTGTGCAATGTGCCTTTGGAAGGGCTTTGGCATCATTCCTGCTCTATGTACAGGTGGTTAATTGTTCACCATGTGCTGCTTGTCTCCTTTACTATGGCATTGATGAGCAGAGCCCAGGGCTCTGTTCTTCCCGGTCCAAAGATTGCAGCATGGGAAGCTCGCCCAGCGTACTTGTGTCCCACTGAACAGAGCCATTGCTGCAGTGTGGGCAAAGCTTCTTTTAGGGAGAGGRATGGTTGGTAGGCAGCTTTGAAAGGGAAATTTTTCTGTTGGCTGACTGTGAGCTAAGGGTGGGAGTATTTGCTCCTATTCCCTATTCAGAAGTGGGATGTGAGGCTGCCCACAGGGTTCCTCCAGCTTGCTGATTTCTTTAGGATGGCAAGAAAGCAGCAACACATCCGGAAGCTGGAGACACAAGAATATTGTTAYTTGAATGCTCTGAATTGTGTTAGTRTCGGYGCATGTAGGGGAAGGTGTGAAGTGTCAGCCCTTTAATATCTCACAGTACCTTTCCATATCACACAAACAACATGAACAAGAGACCAAAATCTTCCAYGAGTCCTTCACAAATACACCCTAGCTKGTACCTGAGCATCTCCTTTTAAGCAGCTACTCCCTGGACTCTTCATCCTCGCAGGAGATGTTTATCATTAAGCTCTCGCAAATGTTTCTCAGGTGGTATCTGAACATCTCTTTTTTCAGCAGCTGAACTTCTTTACCTTTTTCTCATTGGAAGCCACGGCAACATGCTGCCCGCGGTCTCTCACTGGCTTCCCACGTTAGGCTGCTGCCTGATTGCTCTGGATCAGGTATGGTGCCTCTTATCTTTGTCARTTGCTCTTTGGAGCCCGTGTGTTGTCTCTTGTCTTTGTCCTGCCAGCTTTTGTGACCTGTGTGGTTGCTCTGTGACTCCACTGGAGTCAGTTTGGCAGTGGGGAGGCTCTGGATTGTAATTGTGGCTCAGGGTGCCTGGGCTCAGCCCTCCCGGCTGCTCCCTACTCTGTGCTCAGCCATGAGCGCTGGGGAGAGCAGCTCAAGGCATCCTTTTTCCTTGTAGCAAAGGGTTGCTAAATGCTCTGCAAACATCACTGAGCTGAGTGTCACCTGCCTGTGGTGAGACAGCAWGCAGGAGACTCCACTGGGATGCTTTGCTCAGAACAGGTGGTGTGTGTAGGCAGAGAACAAGTTGGCGAGGAAAGATGTCAATTGTTTGATTCCCACATCTTGTTCAGCCAGAAAATAGGCAGTGGCTGGGCTTTAYCTGCTTCTCTGAGTTGCTGAACGGGCACATTTAGCCATGTTTGTGTTTGCCACCAAGTGAGACCACTTTGATGTGTGCTCTTCAGRCCCTGGAGCAGCTAGTTAATAGCTCTGCTGCTTTTGTTTTGTGTTGCCTTTGGCTGCTGGGTACCTGAATCTCACAGAGCAGGAGCCAGCTGATGTTCACCGTGCATTCGTGAATGATTGTATTCTCATCCCTTCATCACA